GCAACAACTAGGCAAGGTGGTGCTTCAATCTTTCAAAAGTAGTCTGATACTCCTTAGTCAACATGAAGTCATTTGGGTTTTTTTTTTATACTTGAAAGCAGGGTAGGCACTTATCACCTGATCGAGATAATTGTTGGACTTTCCTCACCAACCAAGGTGCGTGCATCTCCAGTATGACTCGCACATTCTCAGGATTTGCATCTATTCCCCTTCGGTGTATAATAAGTCCAAGGAACTTTCTTGAGCTGACTTTAAAAGCACAATTAGTCTGATTGAGGCGTATGTTGAACATCTTTAGAACTTGAAATATCTCGACTAAGTATATCAAATGCGAGTCAGTCGATTTATTTTTTACTATCATGTTATCTACATATACTTTGATGTTCCTCCCGAGGTGCTTAAACATCTTGTTTACTATCTTTGGGTATATCGGCCCTACATTTTAACTCTAATGATATAACTCGATAGTAATATATGCTTCAATTGATGATAAAGGAAGTGTGTTTTTGATCATCCGATGCCATTCTTATTTAGCTATATAATAAGAATGGTCCATAAATGTGAAAAGCTTATGACCCGAGGCAGCATCAATCAATTGATCAGCCTGTTCAATGTGAGCCAACTTATGATTGCGTTGTATACCGAGGGGATATCAACCACCATGAATCCTATCATCACCATTTTTTAGTATGATTAATCTCCAAATATGATATGTAAGTTCATGGTGCCAGTAAACCCCATCAATGAAGAGGTCATAGGGATGAGGTTGTTGGTCGAGAGACAAGTTTTTCAAAAGCGTCAAAATAGGGGGATATTAGTAGAGCTATCTATATCAATCAGGACCCTCTTTACTCGAGCATTGATCATCCTCATGGAGACTACTAAGGCATCATTATGGTTCAAGATGAAGTACTCTGTTTCTTCCTCTTGAAGGTGATTTTCAGGCTATCCCTCGTCCGCATGCATTTTTGAATGGTAGCTTGGGCATTAGCATTATAACTCAAGGAGTTGTTTCCATCCAAGGTGGGTCCACTAATGATGATGTCAATTTGTTTCTCCATTAGCCTCTGAGGTTCGGGTGAAGGTTCCTAGTTCCTTCGGATGAACCGTCCAAGGTGTCCTCGACAAATGATTTCTTCAATTTGTTCTTTCAAGTCATGATAATCTTCCATGTCATGGTTGTAATCTCAATAGAAATGATAGTACTTAGATCTTTCTCTCTTTTCCATTAAAGTCTTTATCAGTTAAGGATCTTTTAAGAGTCTCTTATTTTCTATATATAAATAAACTTTAATTTTAATAATATTCAAGGGAGTCGACTCGAGCCTTAGGCGAGGCAACTAGGGTCAGTCACTTCTTCTTCGTCACGGTGATTGAGGCAAATTATAGTTGATCATGTCTCGGCCTTTTGTGTGTCTCTTTGCATTTACTCGAGACTGTTACCTTGATGATGTTATATTAATTGGCCTGTTGGAGTACCTAAAAAATTATTGCTAGTGGCTTCTTCACCAATAACAAAAAAAGGCGAGAGAGGTTGAGTCCTATCATGAAGGTCTGCATTATAAGTGACGAATGAGTATCTTACATGCATTGGATTTCATTGGTGAACCAAGCAATGAAGTCTGAGAGTGTTTCCTCCTCCCTTTGCCTGAGTTTGAGAAGCATTTTCATCGATGACTTCGGACATATATTCTCGAGGAAGTGAAGATTGAACTCCTTGGCAAGTTGAACAAACGAATTGATAGAGAGCGATTTAAAATGGGTGTACCATTCTTGTGTTGAGCCACTTAACATATTGGGAGGGCATGATATATCATGGTGTTCGAAGTGTCATATATTGACAGTTGGGCGTGGAAAGGAGAAATGTGCTCTAACGGGTCGATATTACCATGAAAGACCTCTAATGATGAGAGATGAAATTTGACCAAGATCAGCTCATCCTGGATGTCCTTAATGAATGACGATCAACCTGAGATGGGGTTGGCCGACTCTTCCTCTCTGGATTGTTAGAATTCTCATTGCATCTCTTCCAAGCGTTGGTCTATTTGTTGTAGTTGGATCCTTAGGGAATCATCCATCAAATCTGTTAATTAGGTCTGGAATTTATGTGGAGTAGAGTAGCGTTGTGGTGATCCGCTGAACTCCACAATTGGGGAGTGGGGTATTTCCTTGGTTCGCAATTCGATGGGCCTCAAGCGTTTTTGAGATATTAGTATTACATTGGGTGAGAGAACCTCGACGGGCACCAGTGGCAGTTGAGCTGCTGACCACGGTGGTGGCATTGTTTGTTAGGTCAGCTAGGGTAAGAGTAGAGCAATAGCTTGCATCATGCCCATTAGTGTCTGCAGCTACTAGGGGTTCAGGAACGCCTTATTGGGGACAAGTAGGTAACTCAGGGTCGTTAAACAGACATTAGCATCATATCAATGTTTGTGTCGAGGTGGATGCATCCACATGAGGAAAGGTCGGTTGTTGCCTTCCTTGAGTGAAAGTGCTATGAGTTGGGAGTAGAGTCTCATCGTTCAAGCATTTGTTGAGAGGGTTAGCAAGCGAACATTCCTGCTTTATCGGGCCCTCATAGTGTCAAAATGTTATGAGAAAATGTCATTGACATATTCGTCAATCCAACATGATTTAGATCTATATGCATAGGATTGTTTGAGGTGTCTTCGAGATAAAAACATTGAGCTTCTAAGGTCTCACTTATATGAAGATCAAGGTCAGAAGGGGTTTTCTAACTTAGTCCTTCTGACGCCATAAGTAACTTGAGGTGTATGAGTGTGAATGCGAGTAATCCAAAGAAGTTTCCTCTTTTTTTTGTGTTAAAGACAAGCCTTTATGCTGGGTCATAAATGACAAGAAGGAAGTTTGTGATTCTCTTTCTAGTCATAAATGACAAGAAGGAAGCTTGTGTTCTGATTATAATAAGAAAAAAAATTATAATTATTTTTCTTTCTTATCATAAATGATAAGAAAAAAGTTAGTAATAGTCTTATTGATCATAAATGATGAGAAGAAAGCTTCATCTTCTTCTCCCTTTAGGCACCACATGAAGGTGACGTATCGGATGATTAACCGACAATATATCTCCTATTAATATGGGGATCATACATTTTTTAGTAGATTATTTCAAAATGATATTTTTAATTTACAAGATTTAATGGAATAAAAGTTTATTTCTTAAAATAAAAAGATTCGGAACAGTGTGAAAACAATCAACTTCTATATATTAAAATAAGTATTAAAAACATCCCCAAACACATCCCAATCGAAAATCCATTAAATTTGTCTACTATATATCGCTTATTATGTCGTATGAATCAACCAAACGAATTGGTTGGACTCAAACTGGTTAAACAGTTTTTGAACAAAGTTACGTTATATATCTATAATTGGCTAGTAAATAACTTATTATTTATGTTTATTTATAGGTTATTTTAGTCATGACGAACAATGTAGTTATTATATGATTAAAATTCATAAAAATTATATCAGGAGCTCACTCGGTCGATTGGTGTCTGATTTCACATATATGAAATTAAAATTTGAACATCAAAGCACTTGTAACTACACAAATTGATATCTAAATTATTGATGAAGATATTGCGAGAATATAGTGGGAGGGAGATCAAGTATTGATGTTCTAAATCTACTATCGGCTGGCATGGTTGTCACCTAAGATTCAAATTACCCTCCATCCGTATATGTGTACAAAAAATCAAAAAAAAAACGTATAAATTTCTTTCTTGTACATGATAAGGAACATCACAAATTTTCTTCACTTTCTAACATACTTCTAAACATCTTCCTTTTTCTTTATAACAAATAACAAGTGTTGATACTCTATAAACTACCCGTGTGATTCCATGTATGTTGGTAATATATATTATTTAATATAATATAATGTAATTTTTTTAAAAAAAAGAATAGAATTTGCATAACATTAAATATGGAATAGTCTTTTATTTGTGATAGGGATATAATTTTTTCAAACTAGAATAGAATTTGCAGAACATTAAATATGGAATAGCCTTTTATTTATGATTGAGAGTATTTCAACACTAGTCGTAGGTCGACAACTAGCAATCATCAGGGAGTTGACGTGGAGGATAGTGCGATATCCGTTTGACGAGGGAGAAACTCTCTCAGTCATCCCCTACCAACCCCGCTCCGCACGGGACGATACGAATCGGCAACGTGCCAAGGAGCCTAGACAGTTTGACCTACGCAACAGGGGGTTATACGGGTCGATTGCTCACATGAATGCATCGCAAGAGGTACGAGCGACCATTATAGTTGTAGTTCCCTCTCGTAGGTTCCGCATGTATAAAAATCGATCCCCAATGCCTAAAGAGGAGACTGGTCCTTGAAAAATCCCCACTTGATATAGAATCAATTATTTATTAGCTAACTTAAACATCAAAGAGGTCGGATTAGGAATCCCACCTGATGTCGATCTGTTGTGTAGGGTCCCAATGGAGATCGAATCTACTCTAGTTCTGCTCGAAGATAACCTCGGAATCGGCCTCCCTAGCACCTGCTGCCACTCTGTCCCTCCATCAAGAAAATTCATCTAGACAATTATATATTTTTGGGATAAGACCGAGTCCCATAAGATCCAGTTGTTAACAATTTGACTGCGTCATAAACTACGTGGGGTTAGCGTTATTGGCAATCATGCCATACCATCTCTGTGACGATGACGAAAACAGCTTACAACCACCTCGTCCTTTTCCGGAGCTCAATGCCTCTAAATTTACCCCTCAAAGCTGGACTCCGTTAATCCGTCTTTAACACCTCATCGTATGAGCAAGTGTTACGTCTTCCTGATCACGAAATCATTGTCTTCCGACCTTGTCTTCGCTCCCTTTATATAGTTATATACATACGTAGGTTTAGATAGCAGTGTAATATTGAGTTTGAGGTCCATGGAGATCGTTCATGCCCTGCCGATGTGTCTTAGCCTCTTTGCTTTCGTTTCCTTCTTTTCCTATCCTTGCATGGTCTCCTGTAGCGAGAATCCTCATCGTAATACCAACCAGCTGCAGACGTACGTCATCCAATTGGAAACGCCGACCGCGTCCTTGGATGCTGACGGTCTCAACATCTGGCACAAATCCTTCCTGCCAGTGTCGGACGACGACTCTGATCGACGGCTGGTTCACTCCTACAGTCAAGTCTTCAGTGGGTTCGCCGCAAGGCTTACGGAGGAGGAGGCGAAGAGCGTAGCGAAGAAGGAGGGTTTCCTGCGTGTGTATCCGGACAGCTTCTTGCCTCTTCTCACTACACACACGCCCGGCTTCCTCGGCCTTCAAAGTGGCGGAGGCACGTGGAGGGCTGCCAGCTTTGGCAAGGGGATCATCATCGGACTCCTTGACTCTGGTTTGGATCACGATCACCCTTCCTTCCATGATGACGGCGTGCCTCCGCCACCTACCAAATGGAAAGGCTCATGCGGATTCAAGACCGGCTGTAACAACAAGCTCATCGGCGCGAAGAACTTGCTCGGAGGCAGCAGCCCGGATGGGCCTATAGACGCTGATGGGCATGGTACGCACACGGCAAGCACAGCAGCCGGAAACTTTTTGAACAACGCGAGCTATTATGGCTTGGCCGGCGGCACGGCGGCAGGGATTGCACCACACGCTCACCTAGCCATCTACAAGGTGTGCATAACTGGGCGATGCCAACTCTCCGACGTACTAGCGGGGATCGACGCGGCCGTGGGAGATGGTGTCGACGTGATCTCCATTTCTATAGGTGGAGACGGCACCCCTCTCGATGATGACCTTCTGGCCATTGGCGCATTTGGAGCTGTCAAGAAAGGGATATTTGTCAGCTGTGCCGGTGGCAATAGCGGACCAGGCGAGCGTACCGTTGCGAATGAAGCACCATGGTTACTAACCGTGGCGGCGAGCACCGTCGACAGAAGCCAAAGAGCGACCGTGAAGCTGGGCGACGGCCAAAAGTTTAATGGCGAGTCTCTCGATCAGTACCCGACCTCGAGTGGAAGTTTGCTTACACTTTTCCACATGTCCACCGATCCATATTGCAAATCCTTGAACAGCAGCCAAGTCGAGGGTAAGGTGGTCGCCTGCTTGGTTTACCGAACTCCCAACTACACAGCTACTCTTGTTAAGGCAGCGGGTGGCGTCGGCGTAATACTCATCTCCACTGAAATCGTGGGATACACTATCCTTGACAACAGATGCAACTTCCCTGCAGCAATAGTAAGCAACGAGGATGGCGATAGAATCACATCCTATGTCACTTTAGCCACCAAGCCTACGGTATCCATCACTTATGACGGCACCATTATCGGATCATCTCCTGCTCCGGTCGTCGCTTCTTTCTCGTCGAGGGGTCCTTCCATAAATGTGCCGGGCATTCTTAAGCCCGACGTCTCCGGCCCAGGTGTCAACATTCTAGCGGCATGGCCTTCTGATGTGGTGGGTGGGGATGGACGTATGGGTCGAATGACCTTCAATTTCGAATCAGGTACCTCCATGGCGACCCCTCATCTGAGCGGGGTTGCTGCACTCCTAAAGAGCTTGCATCCCTGTTGGTCGCCGGCAGCCATCAAGTCCGCGATCATCACCACCTCAGACGACAAAGACGGAGATGGAAATCAGATTATGGACCAACAGCACACGACCGCCGGCTTCTTCGCGATGGGCGCAGGACACGTGAATCCGTCGAAGGCTGCTGACCCAGGTCTGGTTTACGACCTGGGTATCGACGACTACATAGCCTACGCCTGTGGCAAGTTCGGGAACAAAGGTGTCAGAGACATCGTTCGTGATACAACCGTCGACTGCGGGAAGATCAACAACATCACGGAATCAGAGCTGAATTATCCGTCAATTGTCGTTGCCCCAAAGAACGGAACCGCCGCGACGGTGAAACGGACGGTGACCAATGTCGGGCAGGCGAAGTCGAGTTACACGGTGGAGGTGGAGGTGCCGGAGACGGTGTCCGTGACTGTTAGGCCTCCGAGTCTAAGCTTCTCTGAAGTGAACCAGAAGATGAGTTTCTTGGTGACGGCAAAGTGGACGACGGCAGGGCTTCCCACGAGGAATGCGGAAGGAAACTTGAAGTGGGTTTCAGGTAAGCGTGTGGTGAGAAGCCCTCTCGTCGTCTCCATTTTATAGAGCAACCGAAGAGGCTGCTTTTCCTCGGCAATTTCAGATAACATAAATGTTCTTCACATGTCAAGAAAGATGCTCCGTGTACCCCTTCCTGGATGTACAATATGATGAAGAACTCAGCCGTATTATTCGTATGTATGAATTTGTAATCATTCACTGGCCTTTAAGAATTGACATATTATTATTATTATTATTCTTTTTTAGTCTAATTCATCCCAAACTCAATATAGTATGCCCAAATATGATCTAATGGATTTTGTCTTGTAAGAGGAGACTTTATTATAAGAGAGTGAACGTACATACTGCTTACTGTGGTTGATTCGGTCATCCATCCGACGACGGATTTGGGCTCGCACCAGTCAACGGAATTCGAGAAAAGAAAGCCGCAAATAGCATACTGCTCGAATCATTTTAAGATTCTGATTCGTTTCACCCAATCCAATCATCTTTGATTTCCCTCGAATTAAATGGGACGGCAGATAAGTTGCACCGCGGGACCCAATGCCCCTTGCGTTGCACGAGCCCGCACACGGTTTTTGATAACACAGAGAGAGAGAGAGTGAAGCCGCGTGGGACCCGTTGGCGCAGCGAGAGGATATTCCCGCTCCATGTGTCAAGCACACCGCACAAGACGCGGTCCCTCGTCCCCACCGCAAGACAGCCGGCGGGTACGCGTGTCGTGTCCACCACGGGATATTCTCGCTTTTGAACCGACTGAATTGAGATTTATGTTGATCTTCTTTGAAATGTTTCACCATGTCGATGAGTCAATTGATTTATTTTTAACTATCATATTATTTAACTATCATATTATTTTTATATATTTTAATAGTTTTTTATATTTAAATATTATATTTATTTTATGGTTGTATTTTTCAACCTGATATAACTCTGCTTCAATTAATGATAAAAGAAATATATTTTTAATCATCCGATATCATTTTTGTTTGGTTATATCATAAGAATTGGTTCATAAAAATAAGAAGCTTATGACTTAAGGTAGTAGCAATCAACTAATTAATATGAAAAAGAGGATAGCTATCCGTCACGTATGCATTATTGAGATATGTATAATCGATACAAGCCTTCATTAGACTTTTTAATTAGTATAACATTATCAAGCTATTCTGAGTACTGTACCTCGATAATACACCCTTCTCCTAGTAGCTTGTCTATCACTTTGCTAATTGTCTGTGAGCAGTTAGTTGTAAACTTGTGAAACTTTTATTTCACTATCATGCCTCGGGAGAAATATTTGGTGTTGTTGAGTTACATCTGGGTTGATTCCCTGTATATTTTTTGGCGATCATATGAACACCTCGATGTTCTCTCTGAGGAATTTGATGAGTAGCACTTGTTTCTCCTCAAGAAGTATCGCCTCAGCCTTAACAACTTGATAAGGACGGGCTTTGTCCAATGGGGGTCGACACTTTTATATATAAAAAGACTTCAGTTTTAATCATATCCAGGGGGGTCGGCTCAAGCCTCGAGCGAGGCAACTCGGGTCAGTCACTTCTTCTTCATCGCGGTGACCTTCGGGTCGAGGCAAATTGTAGTTGATCATGTCTTGTCTTTTTACATGTCTCTTCGCGTTTACTCGAGACCATTACCTCGGCAATGATGTATTGGCCCGTTTGAGTACCTTAAGAATCGTTGCTAGGGCATATTTACCAACATCCAAAAAAGACAAGAGAGGTTGAGTCCCATCATGAAGGTTTGTATTATAAGTGATGAACGAGTATCTTGCACACCTCGAATTTCGTTGGTTATCCAAGTGATGAAGTCTAAGAGTGTTTTCTCCTCCCCTTGCTTGAGTTTGAGAAGCATTGTCGTCGATGGATTTGAAAATATATTTCCAAGGAAGTGAAGCTCAAACTCCTTGGCAAGTTGAATAAAACAATTGATAAAGAGTGATTTAAAATAGGTGTACCATTCTCATGCCAGATTAGTTAACATAGTCAGGAAGGCACGACATATCAAGGCGTTCGAAGTGCCATATAATGATATTTGGGCATTGAAAGTACCAATGTGCTCTAACGGATCGATACTACTGTGAAAGGCCTTCAATGATGAGAGACGAAAGCTGACCAAGATCGGCTCCTCTTGGATGTCCTTAATGAACTATGATCGACCCGAGATGGGATTGGCCAACCCTTTCTCTTTGGATTGTTGGTATTCTCATTGTATTTCCTTCAAGCGCTGGTCTATTTGTCATAGTTGGATTCTTAGAGAATCATCCATTGAATCTGCTGATTAGGTCTGGAATTCAAGTGGAGTAGATTGGTGGTGTGGTGATCCGCTAAACTCAATAGTTAGGGAGGAGGGTGTTTCCTCGGTTGGCGATTCTATGAGCCTCAAGCGCTCTTAAGATTTTGGTATTGCATTGGGTGGGAGAACCTCGACGAGCGTCGATGGTGGTGGTGATTAAGCTGTTGACCACAGTTGAGGTGGTGGCATTGTTTATTGGGTTAGCTAGGGCAAGAGCAGATAAATATCTTGCATCATGGCCATTAGTGTTTGCACCTATGAAGTGAAGCTTAGGAATGCCTTAGTGGGGACGAGCAGGTGACTCGAGGTCGTTGAATGGACACTAATGTCACGTCGACGTTTGCGTCGAGGTGGATGCATCTATATATGAAAAGGTCAGCAGGTGTCTCCTTGAGTTAAAGTACTGTGGGTCGAGGATAAAGTCTTCTCATTCAAGCATTTGTTGAGAGAGTTGGTAGGCAGATATTCTTGCGATATCGGGTCCTCTTTTTAGCACCAAAATGTTAGATGAAAATATCATTTTGGTTAGTCCGACGTGGTTCGAATCCATTTGCATCAAATTGTCTAAACTATCTTCGAGGTGGAAACTTTGAACTCCTAAGATATCACCTATACAAAGATTGAGATCAGAAGAGGTTTTTCGACTGAGTACTTTCGACACTTAAGTTAGTAACTTAAGGTGTATAAGTGTGGACACGAGTAGCCAGAAAAAGTTTTCTCTTTTTTTGTGTTAAAGGCGAGCATTTATACCCGATCGTAAATGGTAAGAAGAAAGTTTGTAATTATCTTTCCAGTTATAAATGACCAAAAAGAAACTTGTATTCTAATTATAAACGATAAGAAAAAAAACTATAATTATCTTTCTTGTCATAAATAAAAAGAAGGAAGCTAGTGATTATCTTTCTGATCATAAATGACGAGATAAAATTTCATCTTCTCCCTCTTTAGGCACCACACGAGGATGATCCCCTATTAATAAGGATAGCATACTTTTTTAATAGATTATTCCAAAATGATATAATTTTTTTTAATTTACAAGAATGAATGGAATAAAAGTTTATTTCTTAAAATAAAAAGATTCGGGACAGTACGAAAGCAATCAACTTCAATATATTAAAATAAGTATTAAAAACATCCCCGAGACACATCCCAATCGAAAAGCCATTAAATTTACCTACCATATATAGCTTATTATGTCGTATGAATCAGCCAAACGAATTGGTTGGACTCAAACTGGTTAAACAGTGTTTGAACAAAGGTCACAGTTTACGTACGTTATATATCTATATTTGACTAGTAAATAACTTATTATTTCTGTGTTTTTATGGGTTATTTTAGTCATGACTGACAGGGAATTTATTATATGCTTAAAATTCATAAAAATTATATCAAGAGCTCACTCGGTCGATTGGTGTCTGATTTCACAGATATGAAATTAAAATTTCGAACATCAGAAGTACATGTAACTACACAAATTGATATCTAAATTATTGACAAAGATATGCAGAGTGTATAGTGACAAGGAGATCAAGTGTTGATGTTCTCTAATAAGAAATCTACTATCAGCTGAGTAAGATTCAAATTACCCACTATCCGTATGAGTGTACAAAAATTCAAATTTCTTTCTTTTCATGACAAGGAACATGATCACAAATTTTCTTCTCTAAAATTATAAACTTCTTTCTTTTTTTTTATAACAAATAACAATTGTTGATATTCTATAAACTGAAAGATGGGCAGTGCAAAATTGTTTCACTTGGGTTTGTTACTGTATTATCATGGAAAGTTTGATTGCACGTATGTTGGTAATGTATATTATTTAATATAATACAATATATTTTTAAAAATAGAATAGAATTTGCATAACATTAAATATGGAATAACTTTTTATTGAGTTTTTTAACACTAGTCACAGGTCATCAGTTGGCGATTGCCATAAAGTAAACATGGAGGATTGTCTAGCATCTGTCTAACGAGGGAGAGACTCCCCCGGTCATTCCCTACTAGCCCCACTCCGCATGGGTTGGTACGACTCGATGCCACGTATAAATGCATCGTAAGAGATACAGTCGACTCTTATAGTCGTAATTTCCTCATGTCGGCTCTGCACATATAAAAATCGTCCCCAACACCTAACGAGGGGATTAGTCCCGAAAAAAATCCCACCTGATATAGAACTAATTTTCCATCCACTAACATAAGCATCATAAGGATTGGGTCGGAAATTTTACTTGACGTCGATATATTGTGCAGGGTCCTGGCGGAGATCGAATCTACTCTAGTTTCACCTCGGGATAACTTTACAATGGCCCTCGCTAGCTCTTGCTAAGTTTCAGCCATTCCATCCCTCCCTCGAGAAGATTCATCTCGACTATTTTGTATATTTGAGATAAGATCGAGCCATAACGATTGAGTTGTTAACAATTTCTTTATTAGGCTGCCTCATAAACTACGTGGCTATATCGGGAAGCGTAATAAGCAATCATACCACACCATCTCTGTGACGATGACGAAAACAGCTTACAACCACCTCGTCCTTTTACGGAGCTCAATGCCTCTAAATTTAACCCTAAAAGCTGGACTCGATTAATCCGTCTTTAACACCTCCTCATCGTACGAGCAAGCGTTACGTCTTCCATATCACGAAATCATTGTCTTCCGACCATGTCTTCGCTCCCTTTATATAGTTATACATTCATAGGTTTAGATAGCAGTGTAAGATTGAGTTTTAGGTCCATGGAGATCGTTCATGCCCTGCCGATGTGTCTTAGCCTCTTTGCTTTCGTTTCCTTCTTTTCCTATCCTTGCATGGTCTCCTGTCGCGAGAATCCTCATCGTAATACCAACCAGCTGCAGACGTACGTCATCCAATTGGAAACGTCGACCGCGTCCTTGGATGCTGACGGTCTCAACATCTGGCACAAATCCTTCCTGCCAGTGTCGGACGACGACTCCGATCGACGGCTGGTTCACTCCTACAGTCAAGTCTTCAGTGGGTTCGCCGCAAGGCTTACGGAGGAGGAGGCGAAGAGCGTGGCGAAGAAGGAGGGTTTCCTGCGTGTGTATCCGGACCGCGTCTTGCCTCTTCTTACTACCCACACGCCTGGCTTCCTCGGCCTTCAAAGTGGCGGAGGCACGTGGAGGGCTGCCAGCTTTGGCAAGGGGATCATCATCGGACTCCTTGACTCTGGTTTGGATCATGATCACCCTTCCTTCCATGATGACGGCGTGCCTCCGCCACCTACCAAATGGAAAGGCTCATGCGGATTCAAGACCGGCTGTAACAACAAGCTCATCGGCGCGAAGAACTTGCTCGGCGGCAGCAGCCCGGATGGGCCTATAGACGCTGTTGGGCATGGTACGCACACGGCAAGCACAGCAGCCGGAAACTTTTTGAACAACGCGAGCTATTATGGCTTGGCCGGCGGCACGGCGGCAGGGATTGCACCACACGCTCACCTAGCCATCTACAAGGTGTGCATAACTGGGCGATGCCAACTCTCCGACGTGCTAGCGGGGATCGACGCGGCCGTGGGAGATGGTGTCGATGTGATCTCCATTTCTATAGGTGGAGACGCCACCCCTTTCAATGATGACGTTCTGGCCATTGGGGCATTTGGAGCTGTCAAGAAAGGGATATTTGTCAGCTGTGCTGCTGGCAATAGCGGACCAGTCGAGCGTACCCTTTCGAATGAAGCACCATGGTTACTAACCGTGGCGGCGAGCACCGTCGACAGAAGCCAAAGAGCGACCGTGAAGCTGGGCGACGGCCAAAAGTTTAATGGCGAGTCTCTCGATCAGTACCCGACCTCGAGTGGAAGTTTGCTTACACTTTTCCACATGTACACCGATCCCTATTGCAAATCCTTGAACAGCAGCCAAGTCGAGGGTAAGGTGGTCGCCTGCTTGGTCTATAGAACTCCCAACTACACAGCTACTCTTGTTAAGGCAGCGGGTGGCGTCGGCGTAATACTCATCTCCACTGAAATCGCGGGATACACTATCCTTGACAACAGATGCAACTTCCCTGCAGCAATAGTAAGCAACGAGGATGGCGATAGAATCACATCCTATGCCACTTTAGCCACCAAGCCTACGGTATCCATCACTTATGACGGCACCATTATCGGAACATCTCCTGCTCCGGTCGTCGCTTCTTTCTCGTCGAGGGGTCCTTCCAGAAATGGCCCGGGCATCCTTAAGCCCGACGTCTCCGGCCCAGGTGTCAACATTCTAGCGGCATGGCCTTCTGATGTGGTGGGTGGGGATGGACGTATGGGTCGAATGACCTTCAATTTCCAATCAGGTACCTCCATGGCGACCCCTCATCTGAGCGGGGTTGCTGCACTCCTAAAGAGCTTGCATCCCGGTTGGTCACCGGCAGCCATCAAGTCCGCGATCATCACCACCTCAGACGACAAAGACCG